AATCGAAGACAAATGATTTATCGATGGTAAAGACAAGTTCGAAGTTGTTCTTCGACGCAACCATTGGCAATTAAAGGCAATCTTGTCTTATGCATAAACTGTAGTTCGAAATTTCCTAAACGAAAAATTTGTTCTTTCATGATTCATGGCGAGGTCAACAAGGTTGATTCCACACAAAAGACACTATTAGCAATATCGTTAAGCAATTTTTAAGCAACAAACATTAACATGAAGTGAAACGATTTGGGCTCATCATGAAGGTAAATGAAATGTTATGTAAAGTAAAATGATTGAGTATGCATAAAAGGGAAGCAAAAGAATAAAAGAGAGCGAAAAAAAAGATGAAAGTTTAAAGTTGAATAACATTTAGAATCATTAGTTTCAGATCATGTTGAATGTATTTATGAAAAAAAGAGCCAAAAGCATTGAAAAATAATCAAAAACACATTGTGATTCCAATGTTAACCTTTAATGGTATTAACAGTGAAACATGGAACACAAGAGGAATTTCCTTTGTCGAAAGAAGTGAAGAAAAAAAACTGAATTCATCATTTTCTGGAGACAATTTTTTCTTCTTCTTTTCCTAGATTCAGTCCATGGAAATGGAGGAGCGTAAAAGAGTCTGGAAAAAATAAAGAGAAATCATCGGTTGATTATCAACATCATCATCATCATCAGTTGCATCACCATGATGATGAAAGGATAACGATGTGATGCCATCGATTGCCATTTAGAAACAAATCCAACCTAACCATTTGATATTCAGTTGACGATATTTCCCAATGGTTTGAATCTAAACAGAATGAACATGTAACTCGAAATGTTTTGATGATATTGAAACATTTCTCTCTTTCTCTTCTCTTTTTTGCTCTTCTCTTTTACTCTGATTTATTTTCATTAACATCATCATCATAATCATCTGCTTTCTTGTTGTTCAAAGACACAAATGATTGTGAAAAGACGAAAGAGAGAAAGTAAAAGATTCTCATCATCATAATGGTAATGAAAGGACGTTAGATCAAGATAATGATGGGTTAAATGTTTTGTTATCTATGCAGTTGGATAAAAGAGTAAAATGCATCTAAAGTGATTCCTTCTAAACAGAAGTAAAAAAGCAAGAATCATCATCTAAGTCATTGCCTGAAAAGATCATCACTTTGCTTCAGCTCATTCTGTCGTCGAACTTCTTGGTGTAACCAACTTTGGTCCATTTAAGATTTGTTTCATCTTTTTGTAGCTTTTGAAGGAAACAGGCAAAGTGTATGGCAAGAAAAATAATCGTCAGAGCCGCACCAAGCTTGGTGCGGCTCTGATCAAATAACAAGTGTCAAATAACTGCGCAGAAAACGAGCATCATATTGTGGCTTTGCCCACGCACAGAAAAAATTTATTCGACAGTTTAGTGATGAGCTTCTATGCATTTTTCGGCATTTTAGTTATCTTCAGGGATATTTGCAAAACCAAGTTTTAGAATACGTTGTAACGCGGTATGTTGTAACTTAATTAACTTTTTTTATCTCATTTTCAGAATGTTACAGTAAAAATTGTGTTACATCCATGCAAATTATGAAAACACCGCAGTTGGATAAAAATAGCTGAATGCAATCCGCTTTACCAAAGCTGAAAAAACTTGATAATGTACATAATAAACGAAAATAGAATTTCTGGCGAAAATAATATATTTGAATTTACTTTTCTGTTTACGAGCATAACTTCTCCTTGAGTTAGCAAGAGAGCCATCATAATCAGAGAAACTGATGGTAATGAAGCTCTTGTCTACAAATTACATATAAAAATTATCTTTCGTCCATGCAAATTATGGTAACAGCACAGTTAGACAGAAATAGCAGAATGCAATCCGATTCGTCAATGTTAGTACAGCTTTTGAATGTTCCAATACAAAATCCGAAATATGATGGTAATATAGCTCTTGTCTACAAATTACATATAAATTATCTTTCGTCCATGAAAATTATGGTAACAGCACAGTTAGACAGAAATAGCAGAATGCAATCCGATTCGGCAATGCTGATCAAGCTTTTGAATGTACCAATACGAATTCCAAAATATGATGGTAATGAAGCTCTTGACTACAAATTACATATGAAAATAATCTTTCGTCACATCAAAATTATGAAAACAGCGCAGTTAGAAATAATGCCAGAATGCAATACAGTTTGTGAATGTGCTATTCAAATTCAGAAATATGATGGTAATGAAGCTCTTGACTACAAATTACATATGAAAATAATCTTTCGTCACATTAAAATTATGAAAACAGCGCAGTTAGATAATAATGCCAGAATGCAATACAGTTTGTGAATGTGCTATTCAAATTCAGAAATATGATGGTAATGAAGCTCTTGACTACAAATTACATATGAAAATAATCTTACGTCACATTAAAATTATGGAAACAGCGCAGTTAGATAGAAATAGCAGAATGCAATCCGGTCCTTCAATGTTAGTACAGCTTTTGAATGTTCCAATACAAAATTCGAAATATGATGGTAATGAAGCTCTTGACTACAAATTACATATGGAAATAATCTTTCGTCACATTAAAATTTCAAAAAAAGCACAGTTAGATAATAATGCCAGAATGCAATCCGGTCCGTCAATGTTGATCCAGCTTTTGAATGTACCATACAAAATCCGAAATATGATGGTAATGAAGCTCTTGACTACAAATTACATATGAAAATAATCTTTCGTCACATTAAAATTATGGAAACAGCGCAGTTAGATAGAAATAGCAGAATGCAATCCGGTCCTTCAATGTTAGTACAGCTTTTGAATGTTCCAATACAAAATTCGAAATATGATGGTAATGAAGCTCTTACCTACAAATTACATATGAAAATAATCTTTCGTCACATTAAAATTATGAAAACAGCGCAGTTAGATAGAAATATGAAATGTTTGACAATAGCTGTTGCTTAATTGGTAGATTCAGAAGTGAACATTGTGTCGCATTTATTTAGCTAAGATAAGCGACAAGAGTTTTTTCTAATATTTGCAAACTCTTGAACCGAGAATTCTGCTTTTCACTTACTGCTTGCTTTTGCTTGTTAGAAACAAAAAGAAAGATCGAAAAATTTACAGTCCAAAAGTGATTTGTAGGTGAGAGCTTCACTGACATCGACTCTACATTTTCAATACATGATTGCAACATTGGACAACGCAAGGAAAAGCACAAGAGATTAAAAGATTTTTTCCTATGATTCATTTGTAGGCAAGAGTTTCATTGACATCGACTTCAAATTTTCAATACATAATTCCCAAACAACGCAAGGAAAAGCAATTCTCGTGCCCAGAAAGTTTCACCGATCCCATCTTATTCATAATTTTGCTCTCGAGTTGATATGGTTTTTATATTACTATTCATAGTAATTGAAAAAGTGCTAACCTTGTGGAAAAAATCATGTTACATATTTGTGTTAATGAACCATTATCTTTGTTTTTCATTTAACTGAAAGATAATCATATTGATCTTTCAGTTCAAGACCAGGTGTGTTGAACTGCCTCTATAATTCTAATTAGACTTTCCAAAAAAGTCACGTTAACTAGCAAGCATTTATGAATTGAACCAATTATGTTCGCTCATATTTATAACAACATGAATTATACAAATGTAATCAAACTATGAGAAAAAGTCTTCATACCTTCAACAGAAAACAATCTTCATAATTTCAATTAGAGGTCAAATAACTGAATAATCTTGAATAATCTTGGGACTGTGGATTTGTATTTTTTTATATCAGGGAATTCTGCTGCGTAAATATTATGTAGTTCAGATCTGTTTCGAAAATTATTAGCACAAGCGACCGTCAAGGATAAAATGATATCCCAGTATAATTCAGTAAAGTTTTTATAATTATCGCGAAATTGGATGTTTTTGGAAAGACTTAGAGTGAAAATTTTCATGCATCATAATCTCCTCGATATCTGATCTGTTATTGAGTGCATTGATAGATATTGATGATAAGACTGTTATTAATAGGAGAAGATATAGTTCTCTCGAAAGACGTAGCTTATTGCTGCAGTGATATTTTGGATATTGTTTCTGCCCTTAATTGTGGTTAATTACCCTTCAACAGCGAATATTCTGATTCAAGACTACATCAGTCATTGGCTACAAACCTTTGCATAGGCGGTTATAAAAAGTCTTAATTCTTTTATTTACCGATAAATTATTTTAAACTTGTTATTGCAAAATTTGTTATCACCAAATCAGGAAAAGTCAGGAGTCAAAAGTAACTATTTTATTGTTTTTAACTATGGTGAGCACAATGATAAATATATTCTTTGCATATTCTTTGTATGTTATTGAGTTATAGAGGCAATTCCTCATGGTTTTCATAATATGTCATTAAAATTCAGTATTTACATCGTTTTCGCATGTAGGTTTTTTTGATTTATTTTCGTTCGCATTTTCTTTTCTTCCAAATTGTTCTAAAAATCTGCTTCTCCATTTCATTTCTTCTTTTCATCATCGAAACCATCTCTCCATGTGAACAGCATGAAAAAAAATTAAAATGCGATTTGCTACCAACCATAATGAACCAGTTGTCATTTCACTTTACATGTTCCTTTTACCATGCATAATCATGATTGACCTGACCTTGCCCGAATAAAGTTTCTTTATCTATACTTTTGAGCTTCTATGAAAGTTGCATTCTATTCATTCAAGACGTAGTTAAATAATCTAAAAGTAGCCGCATTGTAAATGAATGTTGTACAAAAATAACAACAAAAAGGCCAATCTCTGTAATAACTCTTTTCAAGTTTACGAACTTTTAGATTTAATTTCTATTCGCAAAGATGAACTTACCGATCGAGTTTCACCTAAAATATGACGGAATAAAAAGTTGTTTTAGTCATAAAACCTCATAGCCAGAACAAAGTTCAATGAAGATTCCTCATTGAAGATAAATTTAGAACCGAAAGCCCGAACCAGATTCGAAAATGTTGGAATAAAGTGTTTCCAAGCAGAGTGATTATACCAAGAAGTTGATGTTTTAATTATGAAAATCAAGTTTTACATGTTTTCGTTTTAATTGAATGTTTTACAGAATTTTTTGGAATACAGAGAAAGGTTAAGAGAAGATGAAATGGGAATGAAAGGATTAAGTGCAATGCAATTATTAACAGCTTTACATTGAAACAGTATTTTATTTTGCATTTTTCATCGCACATTTTATTGCTTTGCACATTATTGCCCAGCACACAATTGAAATATCTTTTAATAGCATATTATTAATGCGCTTTTACATAAAGTTTAGAGAGTAAAATGACGAGGGAAAAAAATTGACAGGAAAATGAGAAAATGAAACTTTAGTTTGATCTTTATTCTTCTTCTTTCTCTACGCATAATTAGATTCAATCAGGTGATGGACATGCATAATAATTATCAAGACTTTGAAGCCTTCAACTTTTTACAGTTGCAATAGGCAAAGAGAGGGAGAGAGAAAGAAGAAAGAGAAAAGGTAAAACAGGAGAAAATTTCATTTTCATCTTTGAGCATTGACTAGCATTGAAAATTAAAACTCACTTGACAAGTGAAAAGTTGAACATTACCAGTGCTCTTTCATTATGTCAAGTTACCGTCTACTTGTGGCAATCTAATAACTGCTCTGTACATTACATCTCAAGGTTTAAACCTTTTGCATATTATTACGATTATTATTTGGTGGCATTAGTTTTGATTATTGATAGATTTACATGATTGCATGCGATGTTACATTTGGATATCGACCAAGGGGAAAAAGACAAAAGTTATTGCTCGATTGTCAAAGTTTGTTATTGCTTTGTAATACATTGGCTACTCCTCTTGAATCCATTCAAGACGGTCAACCATTTTTTTCAATATTTATTAGTATTCTTAGTAATATATACTTGTTGCTATTCATTAGTGAACACCTTTTGACTAGCTTTACCTTTACACCTCTTGAGCTCTCAATCATTTTCTTCATCTTTTTGTGGTAATGATGAAGGCAAAATAATGCAGAGTCAAGAGCCTATCCATGTTGCTGATGTCAACCTAACAAGAGTGTCTGTCAGGTTAAAGTAAAGCTCAATATCTCGTAACCCAAACAAACGATTAATTTACAAGGAAAGAAGAGAAAAAAAAGTTTATCAATTCTCAAGTTGATTTATTTTCTGTAAGCTTTTTTCACTCCACTTCAATGGGAATTATATCGTTACTTTAATCTACATTATTATGTGCATATATCAATTTGAGTCGATTTTTTTTCTCTTTTCTCACTTTTCTTTTCTTTCCATTTCTTTCTTGCATTCTTCTTTTTGCATACCTTGATTATCTAAAGTTATCATTTTCTTGTTGAATACATTATTTATATTACTTGTATAATATATATGCATGTATAGATATTTGGAATTTCGCTGATTTCTGCTATTATCTACAATAATATCTGAATTATTATCTTTTATATTCAACAGGAAATGAACATGGGTTGAAACAAGAGAGAAACTAGAATAGGAAAGAAGAAAAAAATGATAAAATTGTAATACTCTTTTCAACTTGGAGCTGCATTATTGTTATGAAAAGAGTTTATTCGTTTGCATATGATAGCATGCATGATTTTTTTAAAAAATTTCTGACTTTTCTTTCCATCTGAACGGAACTTTCGTAAACCATGAATCGTTGAAACGATTTTCATCTTTTTTTACTTTCTTTCTTCTTCCTTGTTTGTTGCATAGCGAGTTGTGATTGGGTCTGTTCAAGTCTCGGTCAACATCACCATTCGATACTTGTTAAGATTCAAACTCATTACCGTCATGCTTTATTTCTCGACCAACATTTGCATGAAAATTTGATTGTTTTGAATGTTGTTGGTAAAGAAATTGGTTGACAAGGTTCAGCACAAGTTTGAGTTTCAGTTCAAGTCGAGATGAGAATGTTGAGAGAATGAAGTTCAGACTACAGAGATAAAGATTTGCATTCTTTGAGTTTCTATAATTTACAGATTTTGCATTAAAATTCATTTTCTTTGCATGGATTAACTTGCATAAAATAATTTCATAATTAATAGTGATTATCAAACGGTTAAAAGGATCAAAATTTTGATGATGAAGAGTCAAATATTTCAACTATCAATAGTATTACTAAGGAGAAGGAGAAAGATTTGAAAGAAAAATATATTTCTCCGTTTTCCAATTTGAACGTTTCAAGGGGTCGAGGGAAAAGATTAAAAGTTCAAACGTCCAATCTAGAGGGAAAAGGTTCTTCTTTTTTGTGTTTTTCGTCAGCAATTTAGATTCTGCTTTTTTCTTGCGTTGCTTTCTTACAAAATGAATAGTGATCAACTTTACATGATGAGAGTTTTTGCTTTGTTTGACCAAGAAGACAATTATTGCTTTCGTCGATTGTTGAAGTGAAATTTCCAATTCAGGTTCCAAGTTCAAGCTCGTCAAATCGTTCACTTGTTTTGGAAGAAGAAGAAAAAATCTCTTTCAATGAAAGATTATCATTTGCATATTCAAAGTGATGTTGCATGTTGCTTTTGCTCCATAATTGGATACCCATTTGCATATCAACCAGTTGATAATCGTTTTTTTTTCTCAACTTTTTTTCCCTAAATTTTCGTCTTTATATATTTTCTTATTCATATGCTTGTTTACATCTCTATTTATATATTTATAACTTGACCTTTGAAGGATAAAATGCTCTCTTTGCCGAGTCTCTTTTTTTTCCTCATCGAGTTTCGGGTCATCATTGACTTGCTGTTATAGTCATTATCGTTGCGATTAAATATCTTTAACTCCCTTGTCTCGTTCACTTCCCCAGTCGGATGAAGCTTTTGTTATATGCGAGTTTATTGATGATACCGATGAGGCCGGTGATGAAGGCATTGAATTTGAAGGCATTTCTTTGAAACAGGACGACTCGTAATGTTTGTTAAGGTAAGATTTAAGAGCAAACGATTTATTGCAACGTTGGCACCTATAGCTTTTATGGCTTGAATGTGTTTGCATGTGAGCCCTTAAATTGGAACGATCAGCAAATGCTTTACCACAATGAGCACATCCAAAAGGTTTCTCTCCGGTATGCGATCTCATGTGACCCTGGAGAAGCCAGGGTCGTGAGAATGCTTTACCGCAAACATCGCACTTGTGGTTAAGGTTGTGGGTTAAAACATGCATAGCCAAGGCTGGCATAGAGACGTATATCTTGTGACAAGTTGGACACTTACGAGCCAACTGGGAATCAGGGCTTCGATGAGTCTGCTTGTGACGGGAAAGGTTGGATGAAGTAGCATAATGTTTACCACATTCACTGCAAGTGTAACGCTGTTTCTCCTTTAGTGAACCACTACTAGTGTTACCATCATTTCCAGTCTCACCATCAGACCCATTAAATGAAAGACCACTTTGACCTTTACTCTTGACACTTTCAGTGGATCGACTGTGCCCCGAATCTTTTGGTATCAGTGTCTCTGAACTATCATGACTACCTGGCGAGAGAATGGAAATTTTACTCGATTGTTGTTTTTTCCTTGAACGACCGTCAGTCATGAAAAAAGTGTCATAAGTGTAGCTTATTGTTGATGGAGTCGCCAATGATTTACTCGTTATTATTGTCGAAGAAGATTTGGAAGATGAGGTTGATGATGAAGAAGAGGAAGAAGAAGACGAGGAAGAAGAAGAAGAAGACGATGATGAAGACGAGGAAGATGAAGGTGGATAGACAAGTGAAGGTTGCTTAGACGTCAGTGTTACCAGTGTGGTTGGTTCATTGTCACTCGTGTTGGTACATGTATCTGATAATTCAATCTCAATTTCCGTATCGCTCACTGGTTTACATGGTTCAGGTGTACTGGCCGGTGTTGGCAGTGAAACTGGATTAACCGCTGTCAAAGTTACCGTTTGAATGGATTTATCATCATTACTGCTGGTCGATGTTAGTGTAACCTCATCAACCAAAAGTTCATCCGATTTATCTGAATGTCTCTTACTCAGGTCTAACGTCTTTTCCTCTTTATAGCACAGTTCAACTCTAACTTTGGGACGAACATCATCATCAGGTAAATTGAACTTTTCATGGGCAGCTCCTGTTTGAGAGAAGAAAATGGAAAAGGATTAGATAAAGTGGAACATATAGTTGCCAGAAATGATTCCAATTAGAATTACTTGAAGATGCATTTGAATTGGTTTAGAAAAGTCATGAAACCATCTTGTACCTGAAACGTTTATTCAATTATACAAAACTGAGCTCAATTCTGTAACATTGTTGATGGAAAAATGGAAAAATATAGTTTTTCTAATTTGCATTCTTTAAATATGCAAGCACAAGTATACCGAGTTTAACTCGAATGTAAACAGTTGAAAAGTATTTACCAGGTTTACTTTTCATATTAACCTTTTGCAAGTTCAATCGAAAGTAAAATTAACCATGATTATGATAATATAATTCGCTACTTGATAATATATAATAATTTTGTTCATCACTAAACACGAAGCAGAAATCAAATGGAAAAATTATGTCTGCCTTATTTCATTCCAAATGCATATTAACATTGTAAATGAAAACATTCAATTTCGTTTCAACATTTTTTTCCTCATCAAATTCCCTTTGATTATTAACTTTAGAAAAATTATTGCTCTAATCATGATTGAAATGGAAAATTTAAATATCACACAAATCAAATTGGCGTAAAGCAGAATCTTGCAACATTCAAAATAAAGAAGTAAATTTCGAGATATTGAAAACATGTATCTTTAAAAGGAATCGGCATCAATCAAAGATATCGAGCATTTAATGAGTACAATTTAACCATAAGTTTGAGCAGTGAGACATGCTTAGAGTCTCTAGAAACAACTGAAAGCTCAATTTTCTCAATCCTGTGATTCTTTGCCTGATAATATCATTTAATTATAGAGATGTGCAATATATCAAAAAATTGATTTTTATCGATCATTCCAGTTCGATTGCATATCGATAGTTTCAATGACATATCGTTTGAAGGAAACTCTTGGAAACGTTCATTCATCTTATTACTTTCTCAATTTTCACCAATTCTAGTCTGTTTTTTTCTTTACCTTTTGAGATTGTTTCTTTACCATTGTATTGTTTTTTAAAATAAATCGATTTTTCTTTGGTATCGATTATTTTGAGGATATTTCGTCATTGATAATCGTTTTTATAATAATCGCACATCTTTAAATTATTTGTTTTTTGGTATCGATTATTATCGAAAGATCATCGATACTCGATCTCAAAAAAATCATCAAACATCAGTCCAAAACATTGAAGATTTTTAAATGGAATCACCTTTTAAGATTATAATTTTAAAACAGAGCTCGAATTAGTGCGATTGTATCTTTCGATTGCCTCAAAGCATTATCGATAAAAACCAAAAAATCGATTACGATTGTAGATTTAATCGAATCACTAAAGCTCTATTATGCATTAATCGATGAGTCATCACATTTAAATTACAATTTAAAATTGAATCGTAAGCATATCAGGCTAAAGTCTTGATATGCTAATTGCATGAATAAGAAAATTTCTTTATTCAAAATCCCTTTAATTCCACATTTATTCATTTACTCAAGAAATGTCCATTTTCCTTTGATTCACTTAACTATAATCACTTCCCTGTTGCTTCAAAAGCAATATCACTTATATAAATAATGAAATAAAAACTCGAGATTGATATTATATTCAAACAGAAATGGAACCAGCTGTTGCACACAAGATGATAATTGGTGAGAAGCATAAATGAATAATTTTGAGGCGAAAAAAGCAAAAGAATAGAGTTAATTTCATCTCATCCCAAGAGTACGTGCCTGACTGTTTGATAGTTTTGTTTATAAATTTATCAGATTTTCTCATTTTCCATCATCAATAAAATCTGATAGGAAAATTTTTTCCTTTTCCATATCATCCATTTCTCAGCCTTTGGTTAATCAACCTTTTACCAATTGTTGAACCTTTTATTTCTGGTTTCATCTTTCAAAAGCATAATTTTTTCCTCAACATTTCTCACTATCAACATATAATGATAGGGAATTTGTTGGAAAATATATTTTTATAATAACATTGAGCTCGAATGAGAAGGAGAAAAAGCAACAAGAATAACATGAAAGATTGTTTAGGTTAAGTCGAATGATTACCAATTAACTAACTTTATATTGAGTCTGGCAAAATTCTCATGAAATTATCATCATCATTATTTGTTGCTTTTTATTTCAAAGTAAACTATTATTATGTTCATTATTATTACCATTATATTCAGTAATATTGCGTACAGTAATAGGCAAATGTGATTTATAAATAAATTATGTTATTATTATTATTGGATTGGGTGCAACAAATGGCATCAAGTTGTTTAACCTCAGGGAATGGAATTCTCATTGGGAGGAGAAGAAGAAAAAAATTGTCTCTTCTTGTTGATTGAGTTTATTATTCAGTAAAGAGAGAAATGGAAAGACTGTAATCGAGTGAATTTTGATTTTTGATCCATAATTGCCGTAAGCACAGTGTGCAATTGAATTTACTGGGAATGCGACAAGTTGAACTCGGTCCAATTGTAAATTCGCATCATTATTATCTCTCCAGGTTATACAGTTGTACATATTTCCATTTAAATTAACAACACAACCAAGCAACAAAATAACTCCCAGTTTGCACTCCAAGTCAATAAAATTATCAAGACCAACTGTTGATATCAATTGACCTTTTTTAATTATCTTCTGTGTTTACTCGCAACACTTGAATCTTGAATTTGCAATTTCCTCTTCTTGTGGACAGAACTTGCAAATTTTTCTCTCCATTTTTGCTCATTCTGATAATCATTATTTACTTTTTTTTCTCATTCTTTCCGAATGAAATGCATTTGAAATGTAAACTCGTTTAGTTGCAAATTGGTTAAATCATATTTTCCTTCTCAATATATAATAATGATAATAACAGTCTAACTTGTTGGGAAAAAAGGCGTAAAGAACACATTATCTTTTTTTTCAACTCTTTTTTTTCTCTCTCTCTTCATTTTCCATTTTTGCCTCTGTTGACATAGACAATGTTTATGCATGCAATGCTGGGAGTGAAAAGGGAATGAGAAAAGAGTGTGAAATGTAAAGATGGTGGCAATACGAGATTCCTGAGAATGAATTATTTGTTTGGTAAAGAGCAAGAGAAATGTGAAGAAACAAAAATATCTTTTTTCTTGAATTTAAATTATTCTCACATTACATGAAACTTGTCACAACTGTTTGTGCGTTTCACTTGAAATGCAAATTCAATGAAAAGTGCATAAAATGTTTTTTTCTCTCAACTGATCAAGTTGAAAAGTGCTCATTTAAGTGCAAGACATTTCGATTGGAAAAGATGTTGAAAAAAAACTCAGGTTGATGTGTTAATAGGATAATCAAGTTGGAAAATGATGAGTAAAGATATTCACAGTGAAAGTTGCTGGTAATGATTGAAGCAACAGTGAATAAATGTGAATAAAATGGCAACAATTGAACAAAAGATTTACAATCAACAGGCAATGAAAAGGCTAAACATATTAGTAAGCAAATGTTTACATCGCTTGGTTTCATTTATTGAACACTTTTGTTGATCTTTTTTTTCTCTCTTCTCATCTCAACACTAAACTTTATCTTTTACTTTGCAAATAAAGTGACTTCTTACACTCCTTGTCGTCATCTTCATCATTCAGCTCATTTTCCTTTGTCGTCTAACAGTTCTCTTTACTCTTTCAAGTCTTGCTTTTTTTGCTCATCTTGTTGGCTCTGTTTAACCTGAGTAAACAAAATTAACATTGTAATTATTTAGCTGTTCAAGACTCTGTGAATGAGAGAAAACAGAGAAAGTAAAAGAAGAAGAAGAAGAGATTTATTCAACATCTTAACATCGTTATTATCATCATCAGCATTCTAATGTCGAGACTTTCAATCGTAACTATAAATCAGGCGAAATGTTTGCTTATTCAAAAAAGGTTGCCAAAAGAGTAAAGAGAAAATTCCAATTTTCTTTTTTTCCAAACTTTCAAATGTCAATATTATCGTAAAATAATCTTGTCAAACAAGTGCAAATTTTTTGTTAATGATGATGGGTAAAGATGCATCAAAATGGGTTGCAAATTGTCATACTTTAGCCAATTGATATTCCCTTCAAACAAGTGAATCTAAAGCAAAGTTGAAGGCAAACATTTTTAGACAAAAACGTTTAAAGGTAAATTGCGAGCATAATTCAGGTCAAGTGGTGAAGTTGAATTAATTGGCTTAATTTACCATGAGTTGACACAAGGTCAGGATATTAGTTACAAAAAGCATTACAATTTTCCGCTTTAACCTCCCAGTGCTATCAATCCCTGAATAGTTAACATTCTTGATGAAGAAAAAAAAGCAAACCAAATAAACCAGAAATTCTTGGCATAGTCGAGATGATATTAATTACAAGGTGCAATTTCACGTTTAGCCAATCAATTTACATTTACTTTGTATCATTAAACACTTTTTTTCTGGACAAAATGAGGTAAATCTATTTTCATTTTTTCGCATTTCTTTTTTTCTTCAACTTTTTTTTCGTTTCAAAATTTGATTCGCTCAACGTTTTGTTTCATCAACGTTCCAAAGGTTGCCATTTAGATTGATAACTTGGATTCATCAGACCATATGAAACGTGAATCATGAAAGGAGCGATGAGAAAAGAGACAAAAACTTTTGCAAAGTGCACTTTAAAAAGCATTTGAAGCATTCTGTCATCAGTTGGAAACAAGGTAATATTATCAAAAGATAAAAGGACAATTTCGCCTTTAAAACAATTCACTTAAGTGCAACAAAAAGTAAATTTTGTTTCAACGACAGAAGGAAAAGAAAGAGAAACAAAAACTTGGGAGTGAACAAATGGAAATACAAAGTGAACAAAAATATCCATTTTTACCAACATGTTTATATGTTGGAGGAAAAACAAAAATATCCATTTCTATGTTGCAAGATTATTCATTTTTCGCTTCATGAACAATGTTGTTTGTTGTATTGAATATTTCATTCTCTGGTCAATGAATATGGAATCTTCAATCTTTGTTCTTGGTTCAATAGTGAA